AGGAATAATAGTAATAATATTGTGAAAGGTTTATTCAGGATAAGTCAGTGTTCAAGGCTAAAGGCAGAACCACTGATGATTGAGACTGTAGCAAAATATTACAATAGTAGATTTTATATGACTCTAAAGTGTTGTGTTCTTGACTTAAATTGACTGAAATGTACTTAAAAGGAATTGATATCCTGCCAGATTAAATAAGAAAAAGCCAACCAAAATAGCATTAGGTTTAATGAGTGCCTAAATGAGTGCCCTGATGAGAACTATAAAACTTGCATATTTACGCTGTGGATATTAAAACACTGTTGTTTGCGACATCACAAAGACTCATCCTCTGGTTTGGCTGCAGGTTGATCATGGTGCTCACAGGGAAACGCTCCGAAAAAGGCCCTGCCTGCTGGAAGAAGAGGGTCAAGTCTGAGTACATGAGGCTGCGGCAACTCAAACGCTTCAGGCGTGCAGACGAGGTCAAGGTCGGTCCATACACACAGACCAGAAGCATGTTGCATTTAGCTTTAACATGTAGTTCCTTCAGTGATTTTTCCTCTTCAACTGTTCCAGAGCATGTTCAACACCAATCGCCATAAAATCATGAAGCGAACCGACATTTTGAACCAGGAGTGGAAGACCAGGCGTATTCAGCCCATTCACATCATGACGTCTGTCGGCTCTTTGAGAGGAACCCGAGAGGTCAGTTCCAAAGGTGCTGATGTGCAGAAGAAGTTTTTAGTTTGTTCTCACTGATTTGTCTTTCCCGTCTTTTGGTTCAGTGTACAGTGGACAGCGGTTTCTCAGAGTTTCCCAGGCAGGTGATTCCACTGAAGACTCTCAACGCCGTGGCCTCTGTGCCCGTCATGTACTCGTGGTCTCCACTGCAGCAGAACTTTATGGTGTGTTTACAGTGAACACTCTTCAGCAAATGTTTTAATGTCATGACATTTCTCTCAAACCAAAGTACATAAAGAAAATACAGGGTGGTTATACTGTCATCATATGTCATTGAGTCCAGAGAATGTCTTTGTTTTTGAGTATGTGTGTAATATCCTCTCTTACAATCATGGACCAGGTGGAGGATGAGACAGTTCTCCATAACATCCCCTACATGGGCGATGAGATCTTGGACCAGGACGGGACTTTTATAGAAGAGCTCATCAAGAACTACGATGGGAAAGTTCACGGGGACAGAGGTGAGGATAAGTCACGACGCCTTGCTCCATCTGGCATGTTCACTTTTCTTTCTGACTTCCCGTGATTCTCTGAGTTTATAAAATGTGAAGACAACAAAGATATTTGGTGCCTTTTTTTTCCATGCAGAGTGTGGCTTTATCAATGACGAAATTTTTGTGGAGCTGGTCAACGCTCTCTCACAGTACAGCGACAACGAAGACGAGGAAGAAGAGGAGGAGCAGGACTACAAGGTGGAGAAGATGGAGATGTGCGATGGCAAGGAGCATTTAGATGAGCACCACAACGACGGGCTCGTGAACAGCGAGAGTTAGTTTTTGTTTTTGTTTTTCAGACAGCCCTTTGAGCCGTGGTGGTTACGACAAACCACCTGGATAAAGCGCTGTGAGTTTTCAGGCTAACGTAGTGCTGTTGTGTCATTACAGATCGAACGGTCAATGATGGCAACAAGAAGTTTCCCTCTGACAAGATTTTTGAAGCAATCTCTTCCATGTTCCCTGACAAGGGATCGACTGAGGAGCTCAAAGAGAAGTGAGCAACTGGCCAGTTATTTTCATCATAAATGTTTACTCCTAAAGAAATATCACCTGAAGATTTTACAAAAAAAGTTATTACTCCTAAAGAAATATCACCTGAAGAAGATTTTACAAAAAAAGTTCTTTTAGTCAGATGTTGCCTTTACAGTGCTGAGAAACTGAGTTAAATTAAATAACTAAGAATGCACAAAGCATTCTTGGAATTAAGGTCTTGGTAACATTTAGTGAAAATGGTTCAACACTGGTTGTTGTAACAGATGTGACGTCGTCCTTGTTTCAGATATAAAGAGCTGACGGAGCAGCAGCTGCCAGGAGCACTGCCACCAGAATGTACCCCAAACATCGATGGACCTAATGCTCGCTCAGTGCAGCGTGAACAGAGTCTGCACTCCTTCCACACCCTGTTCTGCAGACGCTGTTTTAAATACGACTGCTTCCTCCACCGTTAGTATATAAACGCACACACACTGCATTGCAAAAACATCCCTTGACACCAGAGGAGGAGGTTAATTATTGACTTGATAAATCTCAAGAGCCTTGGGTTTAAAATAGATAGTTTTTACCCCTGTTACCCTGGGGTGCTAGAAACACTAACCAGGGGATAAAAAAAAAACCAGGGGAGACCTTGTGAAATTTGAGACAAAAGTAAATAATAACAACTACCAACTATTGTCCTAAGTTTAAAAAAAATCAATCAATTCCATTTGTTGACATTCTCAAAAACATTTTTATAATTGCTGATTACTATACACTCTGGATAGCCAAGTTGGACTTACCACACGAGCATGTCTCAGCAGATCAAGTCTAGAGTTCTGTTGAACAGCAGGAGCAGAAGTTTGATTATTGACATGGCAGTGGTTACATCCAGAACCAGAACCTGGTCCTGTGTTCCATACACCGCACAACTCCAGGACTGCATGAGCTGCACATTTTAAAAACAGGACATCATGTGTGGAACCACAACTCTTTGTCATGGTGTCACGTAAAAGATCAAGTGTCATGTGCTCTGTCCCTGCAGACAGAACCTGAGAGATGTTCTCTGTCACACACACTTCTTTAGTTGAAGGCATGTAAAACATTTGTAAAATAAACCAGCATTAAAATATTTTTAAGCACTTCTTTAGTTGAAGGCATGTAAAACCTTTGTAAAATAAACCACCATTAAAACATTATTTTAAAATCTGGCCACACCCACAGGGTTGGAGCTATGAAGACCAGCCCACTGGCCACACCCACAGGGTTGGAGCTATCATCAATCAATCAATCATGATCAAAGTGTATTAATTACTGAAAATTGTACCAAAATGTTTTATATGTTTTCAAATCTAATTGAGGTTATCTTCATCTTTCTATTTTTCTTTTTTTTCAGCTTTCCACGCAACTCCAAACACCTACAAACGCAAGAACCTGGAGAACTTGGTGGAGAGTAAACCCTGTGGCATTGACTGCTACATGTACCTGGTGCAGGTGAGATATTCTCTAAAGGGACCAAGAAGGAAACGCTAACATCAAAACACATAATATACACATTGTATATATATATATATATATATTTTTTTTTTAAGTCAGTTTTTAAGAAAAATTGCTAAAACTGCTTTCTCTGCTTCTCGCAGGACGGGATGGTGAGGGAGTATCCAGCAGGTGTGGTGGCAGAGCGCGCCAAAACGCCCTCCAAACGCACAGCCGGGCGTCGACGGGGGCGTCTGCCAAACAGCAACAGCCGACCCAGCACGCCCACCGTCTCCTCTGAGACCAAAGACACAGACAGTGACCACGAGGGCAGCAAAGACGACGAGAGGGACAACGACAAGGACGACGAGGACAAGAAGGACGAAAACACCAGCAGTTCAGGTATCGTCTCACTTCATTTGTCTTAATGTTTGCTGCTGCTGCTGCTGCTGTTTTCATCCTAGTTTGTTTGACTGTATTTTTAGCTTCTGTTCAAAGTTTAATAAACTTATTTTAGACTAATTATTTGGGTCACATATGTATGTTTTATCTACTACTGAGTGTAGAAGGAAACTCTCGGTGTCAGACACCTGTGAAGATGAAGCTGAGCGGAGAACCAGAGTCCGTGGAGTGGAGCGGCGCGGAGGCGTCTCTCTTCAGGGTTCTCATCGGGACATACTATGACAACTACTGTGCCATCGCTCGCCTCATCACCACAAAGACCTGCAGACAGGTGAGCTGAGGGGCAGTAATACAGCTCAGACACCTGTGTAACAGGGGAATGAAGCCACACACTTGTGCATCTCACAGGTTTATGAGTTCAGAGTGAAGGAGTCGAGCATCATCGCCCGAGCACCTGCTGAGGATGAGGACACGCCTCCCAGGAAGAAGAAGAGAAAACACCGCCTGTGGGCCACACACTGCCGTAAGATCCAGCTGAAAAAAGGTCAGAGCCTCAGGACGCCTGTGCCCCCACCTGCCGCACCCAACCACTGGTGGAAACAAACAAATAAGTAAACAAACAAAAACTGTTGTCTTTCAGACGGCTCATCCAATCACGTGTACAACTACCAACCATGTGACCACCCACGGCAGCCATGTGACTCGTCCTGTCCCTGCATCACTGCTCAGAACTTCTGTGAAAAGTTCTGCCAGTGCAGCTCAGAATGTAAGACACACGAAAAAGAAACGCTGTCAATAAGAGTCAAAGTCAATCACCATAACAACTGTCTTTTCATGATGCAGGTCAGAACAGATTCCCAGGTTGCCGGTGCAAAGCCCAGTGTAACACCAAACAGTGTCCCTGTTACCTGGCAGTGAGGGAGTGTGACCCTGACCTCTGTCTGACCTGCGGAGCTGCCGATCACTGGGACAGTAAAAATGTCTCCTGCAAGAACTGCTCCATCCAGAGGGGGGCGAAGAAGGTAACATGACCGAACCACGAAACATTCACCTTTGGGTCATTATGAGGACTTTATGAGGATTTGACAAATATAATAAACTTTAAACTTGAATTTAGCAACATCTATTCTGCAGTCCAGTCCAGTTCTGTTCTGTTATTGTTTAACTCAAAACTGTCATTGAGTCATTTCACCAATGACAAACTAAAGATGGTGAAGTGTTCAAGTCTTTTTTTTCCTCCCCCAGCACCTGCTCCTTGCTCCGTCAGACGTGGCAGGTTGGGGAATCTTTATCAAAGAGCCGGTGCAAAAGAACGAGTTCATCTCTGAGTACTGTGGAGAGGTAAGGGAAAAAAAAAACTCCATCTCTGAGTACTGTGGAGAGGTAAGGAAAAAAAAACTCAGGGGAAAATAAAATAAAAATTCTGTTAGTAAGATGTTAAAAATTCGGCGTCAGTCAGTCAGCAGCGTTTATTAAAGAATCTGATTTAATCCCTGGTCTCTGCAGATCATCTCTCAGGATGAAGCTGATCGCAGAGGAAAAGTCTACGACAAATACATGTGCAGCTTTCTGTTTAACCTCAACAACGGTAACCTGCAGTTTCTTTAACTGTGATCGACAATCGTAGAAAATAATTTGCTATTTTAACTTTTGCGAAACATTAAGCAAATGGTCATTTAGTACATTTTTATTTCTCAGACTTTGTCGTCGATGCAACGAGGAAAGGAAACAAGATCCGCTTCGCAAACCATTCTGTTAATCCAAACTGCTACGCTAAAGGTTAGCATCACGTCACAGCGACGAGGCCAAGTCATGACTCGGCAGTTTTTATCATCACTACACCAGATTTTAGTTGTTGGTGACGCTGTAATGACGGTTCTTTTCCCTCTGTGTGGGCTGTGTTTGTGCAGTGATGATGGTGAACGGTGATCACAGAATTGGAATCTTTGCTAAAAGAGCCATCCAGACCGGAGAGGAGCTTTTCTTTGACTACAGGTGAGGAAGAAGAGAAAGATTCTTCTTCAGTGTTTTCATTTAGTTTCTACATTTTTCTAAAAAAAGCTTTTTTTGAAAAATGAAAGTAAAGGCGTAATGTCTCTGTCACAGGTACAGCCAGGCCGACGCTCTGAAGTACGTAGGGATCGAGCGGGAGATGGAGATTGCATGAATCTGACGTCTTCCTCAGCGGCACAGAGGCCTTACAAAAACACACACACACACACTCGCACATAAACACACTTCAGGAAATCCAAGTGCTCGACAACTTCAGGAAATCTGGGAA